TCGTTCGCTCGTTCTTTCGCAAACGAATAAATCAACAATTATGCAAGTGTAATAAATGAGTTTACTCACCAGTCGATGTATCGCCACTGCTGTCTTACTCCTTTGTTTTTAGTCTCTGCTTTCCTGCTTTCCATTCGTGGTTGTACCATCATTGTCGTAGATACATCATACGGTATTCTTGATACATTCACACACCACGACGCGTTCACTAATTCATTAATTCATTCGCGATTTTTGCGAGAACTTCGCCCGTCGTTTGATTCGACACTCCCAACATTCGTTCGCATGTGAAATTTACTTTCGACGGATAAAAAACGCGAGAAATACGGAGCGGGCGCAATTCGGTTTCGGACTCGCGCTAATGCGATGTGTGACTTAGGTGATTACAAAAAGGGTGAGGAATGAAGAGGGGGACCGCGCCATCAATGTTTTCGCTGTAAGCGTGTCGGCGAGCTTCGAGCAAAGCCGAATGCAAAGAATCTATCGCGGCAATAAATTACCGAATCCATTTACGTTCCGTAAAACAGATATTTCACTATTCACTAATCCATTAACTCATTTACATGCGTATAGCTGGAACTTTTAAAATTCCGCGCAATGTCCCGATGGATAGGTTATCTTGACGCTGTTTACAAATACACATCGAAAACATCGCGTTAATCGCGATCGCGCGAATTAATAGATGCACTGGACTGATCGTCCGTTGTTTAATTCGGCATTCGCGATATTCGTTCACACACGAATTCATTCGAGACGGATAAGCAAGATGCGAAGCGATCGCGGTGTGACTGCGGCAACGGGTGGTGCTCGACGTGAACGTGGCTATCATTAATTTGTGTGACGTCACGTTCATCACGGTTAGTTTCATACGATTACGCGGCAATATCTCAATATTTCAAGTAAACGGCGTCACTTGCCTCGATGAACTCGTTGCGGTGATCCCTCGACGCCTCTCGTCGATGTTCCTCGATATTGCGGATGATGAGTGGCACACGCGTTGCTCGTCGAATCAGCGAATAACGCGAAACACGCACAAGAGACGCGTATCGGAAAATGGAGATTCGCGACCGAGCGCGAAACGACGAGCTTCGATTTCGAAACGCCGTGAAACACGCTGAATGCGATCGCGCGGACATATTAATACTTCGAGACAATTTCCCGTTGAATTCGATACTTCCGACACTCGTTTGTACGCAAAATTTGCCCGGAACGTGTAAAGAAAACACAAAGACGCGGAGCAATCACGATTCGACTGCAACGAGACGTTCAGCGCGCGAACTACTTTTCACCAAACTACTGTGACGTCACACCGTACGACTAATTTCATGCGATACGTGGCGATATCTATCTCCAGCAAACACCATCATCTACCTCTACAAATCCGCTGCAATCTTCCAACGCTTCCCTGAATGGTCCTTGATGTTTTTGATGCTCAATGGCACGAACGAGGTTGGTTCACGTAAGCACGAAAGACATGTATCGGAAAATTGAGTTCCACGACGAAATGTGAAGCGATAAAGTTCGATGTTCCGGTAGATGGGTTATTCCGATGCCGCTTACAAACATGGTGAGATGATGCATTCGCGATCTGCAACTTAATAAACGTACCGAGATCGCTCGTCCTTCAATTCGGTAGTTCCGACACTCGTTTGAACGCAGAATTCACTTTCGATGGGAAAAAGACGCGAAAGACGCACAGTTCTAACTAGAACTAATGGAAGGGATATGGATAGTTTAGACGCGAAAGAAGGGAGAGGGAGAACGCGTCGCTAGCTCGCTACGAGGCAGCCCTTCCCAGAAAGCTGGACTCGAAGACTTTACGACATAAACAAAGGTATTATTATAGAGCGATGTTTTTCAAACTCTGATCAGCTTTCATGATAAATAACTTGTGTAGTTTCTTTCCACGTAATATTTATGAGAGTAATCTTGTCTTTGAAATTCGGTAAATTAATCAAATAAAAAACTTCAAGTTTTTCTAACCTAAAAACTTTTTACCTAATTGCATCAGGTAATTGTTGAAATCCGATTTCAAGTATAATATTACATTACGCCAAACATAATAATATATATTATTCAATATTATACTAATATTGTACTAATATTAGATAATTAACATGTGGTTATTTATTAATGCGTTTGTATTGAGAGCGTGCATAGAAAGTCGGTTAGATTTGCACAAATTAAATGAGAAATGAAATATATAATCCTCGCAGTTATTTTTCAGCGCGGAAAGAAAGGGAAGTGGATAAATTTGGTTATATAAAGCAATGCACGCAAATAAAAATATCGGTCTGCCGAGTGCCGAGCATTCCGCCCGCTAAACAATTAATCAGGAGGTCGCCCCGGCAGCGATTTCGTTCTCTTTATGCGCAGCGACGGCGATTTCTAGACCGTAATAAATGCGGAATTGAAATACTTTGGGGCGCAATGCGTTTGCTTAGACTATACGTCTCGTTTTCCGTATGCGCATCGATCAAGCAAGACCGAGAGGCTGATCCGGTTCGCGTAACGGCGATATGAATTTCCGTTCCGTTGCGCGATAAATTTCCTTACCAATCCGGCATTTCGAACTGTCGAAGTCGCTAAATTGATTCGCGCGGTCTGAAGTTTGGGCAGTTCGCGGGGTAGAGGGAGGAGGGGAGAAAAAAAGAGGAGAGAAAACTTGCGTCGCGACGATTAAGGGTGGCGCGGAAATCGCAGTTGGAAGCGCGCGATTGCAGCTGACGCTCGCGACTAATCTCACGTTGACGATGATGAAGTTCAATCGTATGGCAGTTCGCACCTTTTGTCTGTTATTTTTCTTCATGCGCTATACTGACGGCGAAATGAGAAGAAAAATGCTGCCCACATATCACAGAGAAGATAGAAATTATTGTCATATCTGTTCAGAACACACCATGTGTTTATTTCCTGTAAATATTTATATAGAAATTTCTATAATAATACTGTTTGTACACTACATTCGGATATTATTCGAATAGCAAGTGAATATTCAATAACACATAACACGCATTTGAGATTTCTGATTATTTGAATACGTAACCTAATTTTTTTCTATCACCACGAAAATTTTGTATTTTATAACCGTGAAATTAAATACCACTGGTCTTTCATAATGACAAGAGTACGTATACGTATTATCAACTTACAATTGCTTCTCATCTTCACAGATCGAGTGCGAAGGCGCGGATTGCGTCGATATGGAATATAGCGACCTCGATGAAACAGATATCGAAACGGTGCTCGACAGTCATAATTTTTATCGCACCGTCATAGCGAGCGGCAAGGAGAATCGCGGAAATCCCGGGCCGCAGCCTGCCGCGAGGACCATGATGGAATTGGTAGAAAAATCGACGAAACACGCGCGACGCGCACACGATATTTAATCATTTATTCCCGGGGTGGCGGGCGGCATCTGAAGCGTCATTTGTTTCGACAGATCTGGGACGACGAACTCGCCGTTATAGCGCGTCGATGGGCGTTGCAGTGCAAGCTCTTCGAGAAGGATCAGTGCCGAGACGTTGGCAAGTAACTCCGACGGATATATCCCATTTTTCATTCCTCCCACTCGTCGCGCCGTTATTTTTCAATATCCAATAACCCGTACAGACGCGAAATTGTTCCATCAATACGAAACACGCGTGTGTATGCAGCATTATATATATATATATAAGACTCGTATCTTAAATTTCTTTAATTGCGGACGTTTTTCGGTTTCGGTCTGAGTACATTCAGAATTCATGAAGTTTTAGAGTAAAACCATGCAAAAATAATCTCTCTATAATAACGAATGAATGGAAACATGAAAATTGGCCAGCCGATATTTTTCTATATCTGAAAATGTTGCATACAAAAATTTTCTCGAAATTACAATGCCTTCAATATTTGCAAAATTTTATAAAAGACCCGGAATTTTATTGTTAATAAGACAGAATTGTAAGCGGACTCGTTACAGTCGTCTTTAAAAAGAGCAGTATATCGAGGTCGGAGTGCATGCGGATATCTTATTGAAACGATCCTCTCGTTGCAGAACGATTTGGAGTATGGCAGAATATAAACGTGCTCGACATGGACAGCGTGGAAAGCGGTATGAGTAGGGAAAGAATTCACTTTCATATTACATCGTGGTACGACGAGGTGGAAGACTTCGACAACGCGGAAGTCGGGTAAAACTTGAAAGTGCGCACAGTGTATATATAGAATATACAGGATGTCTCACGTCTAGCGAGCCATCTTTCATCTATATAGATCCTTCGAACAATTTCTTTTTGAGAATGTCGACGGAAGATCATTTGTCATTTGTCGCAAGTTCTCAATTTTCAATAATAAATATCTCTTTGACCACAATTTTGAAGGAAAAAATTTGATGAAATCTATTTAAAATTGAAAGAAAAATAAGATTTTATTATTTGCTCGTATTTGAGCTTTTTATTTTCAAACGTTTTTAGTTTAAAAATTGATTAAAGGTTTTAGAGATTTTTCTTCAAGAGAAATTTATTTTAAATTAATCGAATTGATTGAAAGATTGAATATTTAAGGGGAAGATGGTCGACTAGGTGTAAAACATTCTGTATACACAAATCGTGCGTCAAGAATCAGCGTGAATATACAGGCACGCTTCTCTCGCGCGCGTCTATGTAGGTCGACAGTAACGCGTACACGAATCGCGATGCTGCTGAGAGGAAGGTACAATAGCCCGAACCGAGTTGATCGGAACGACTCCTTTGTGTCGAGAGACTCCACCACCCCTTTGTGAATGGCCGATGTTCGATCCGGTGTGTAGACATAGCTAGCTCGGTCCCCCGAATTTTGGGGGAAGGTTTGCGGCCACCGTTCTGTTCTTCGCTATCCTTCGTCTCTCGTTCTCCTTCTCGCGATCCTCTATTTCATCCCACATATCCACCGTCGTTTCTACTCTTGCCCGCGATCGCAGTACTCTCATGGGATTCAGTGCTGGCTTTAGACACATCAATGCCTCAAGCGAAACTTTTTCGCACACGCCCTTTTTATCTTCCCTTCGTGAATAAAATAAAATTTAAAATATAACAATATGAGAGAGGTAAGCTAGGAGAATTTCAAATAAGTGTATGTATCTTTTACTTTTGTTTAAAAAATCTTGAATATAAATAATTTATACAATCTTTGTTGACAATGGAACATACAAAATTCATGATCATGAAATACAAGTATAAAGTCAGATGTTTTATTCTAAAATATTACAAATATATATATATTTTTTTTTTCTTCCCTTTTTTTATTTATTAGAAAAATAAAGTAAGCTACAGATTTATAAATTAAAAATTTATAACATAAGTTTGAATGAATCTATGTAAAATAAGTTTAGAAGAATAACTTCTCATAAAAATGTTTCAATTTGTTTAATGCTAACGTATTTTGCGCTTTTCTTCTGCCTCGAGCGACAGCTCGTCTCGATCACTATCTAAAGCCGGTACTGCAAGGGGATTGTAGGTACTGGAGAACGAGGATGAGAGGGATGAAGCGACGACTTGACCGTCAGAGAAAATGACCAAAGACCGATTGTATGGAACAGAGGATGGAAATGGGGGAATAGCGGATGGTTCTTCTTCTGTCGTCGGGAACAATCAAAATCGCGTATTCTCTCGGTAAATTGGAAATCGAGAGTGCTATTGTACCGGCCCAAATTACTCGTCGATAGTCCGGTATACATAGATCCCCCAGCAGCTATGAGCGAGTTTCTGTCGCTTTTTTTTATTTCGGTCTGATAGAAAAAAAAAGTTTCAATTTCCTATAGGATACATGAAAATGTGATATCATCAACTTCTAGCTTAATCCTGTGTTAAAGTGTATTCGAAAAAAGTACAGAAACCTTGTTTCTATCGTCTTTTGATATCCACGGTTTATCTAAACTTTTTTATTATATAAATTGGCAACAGAATTTTTTTCAAAATTGGAAACAAGAAAATATAACTGTTTATAACTGTCATGCGGCACAATTTCTATTTTTCTTCAGATAATATTTTGGGCAACACTTTAAAACTATTATACACACAAACATGATCTTATCTATTTTCATGTACCCTCTTAAAATTTAATTAACGAATTCTATTTGCCATTTTCGAGATGAACCCATAAGATACACGTTAATCTCTTGAGCCTTGCAGGAGCATCAAATTATGAGAACTCCCGTCCTAATTTGAATTCAAGTTGCGCGTCAATGGAGAGAGCCTGAGGCTCGACACTGGCTGCCGACGTCCACCTTCATTTAGTTCAGATAATCGTACCTTTCAGACTGGTGAACTACTCCACCGCGGCGTGGCAACTCTCCTCTTACATCCCCCTCGCATCGGCGACGTTCATTTACGTTGGTTGCGGCCGCGCGATTTACACGCTCGACTTGAACAAGACCGCGGCGAGTTACCAGCATCGTGACGCAGTCACGCTCGATGGGTTTGGGAATCGGGTCGAGGTACTCGTGTGTAATTACGGACCCGTCGATCGCACCGCACCCCGGCAGCTATACGAGCTTGGCCAGCCGGGCCTGTGCCCGTCCGGGACCCTGCCCAGCGGCCGTTACCAGTTCCTTTGCAGTAAGTACAAGCTCTGTCTTACGAGAACGTAAGCCTATCTCTTAAAATTTAGAATAAGAATTAGAAATAAGAAAAAGAAATCAATAATGAAAAATTGGCGCTATGATTTATAATTATAAAGAGTAAAACAAGCTTTGTTTCTCGTGATGCCCTTAAATCATAAACAATTTGCTTATCTGACGTCAAGAAGCTTGTCACAGATAAAATATAAGAAATCTATGGCATAAACTTGCGAAAAATGTTATCTGTGCTAATATCAATGTACAATATATCGCAAACATAGTCAGGCGCAATAATGCCGTGGTTAGATACTTGCAAAGCATGTTGTGAAGTTTGTAATAACGTTAACAATCTCTAACAATCCCCGTGCGTTAATACCCTGGGAACAAGCAGCCGTGTATGGTCCGCTTGCAAATCTCAAGTAATGGTGCGAGGGCCATCACTGTCGTCACGTTGTCCGCCCATGCACGTTCGTTACTACTTACTTAGCGGCCGGACACTTAAGCGAGCCGGCTCCTGTCCGTCGATTCGCCGCTTCATCGATCGTTACGGGACACGCGACCGCTCGGTTAATCCTTAAGCACGAAAGCTCGTTTATCTTTATCGGTGTTCCTGTGCCTTGGATGCCGGGGGCACTTTTGTGTAAGAAGATTACCTTTGTCGGCAAAAGTGGGAAATCTTTTTCTCGCCGTTAATGCCTGCCGACCCATCTTTTCAATCCGTATTTTCGTAATCATATAAATAGATGTCTTTTCTTATATGTTTAATGCATTATTGACTAGTATTTTATAGCATTTTGAGAAAAAAGAACTTGCTATCAAAAATAGAATAATACCTAATAACTGTACAATTAGAACGTGAAATTTTTATCGGATTTTAGTTTGCCATTTTTCACCACGTTTTTGTATAGTTTCAAGCAAAAATCTGAGCATTTTATGTTATTTTTAATTTAAATTCTTTGCATACCGATATCATGCAAATATATCTGCACTGCAATTTACGCTATCAGAATGGAGAGAACAAAATTGCTATCCTTCATTATCGTACATCTTCTCTTGCGTTGATCACATTAGTCAAGCGGACGAAACCAGGTTAAGATCCGTCAATGCGGATCAGTGTTTTCGTGTTCATTCTTGGCTGACAAGCTGAGAATGACGACAGAGCTGTAATTAATGCTAAGTAATCTTGCTTTATTAGAATATAAAAAGAACGATAGCTACTTTTTTGTACGATCAGCTCTTGTCGTATTATGTATGTAGCGATTATTCATCCTCTTGTGAACACCAAGAGTCTGACATAAGAATGATGGATGGATTAATATAATCGAAAAGGACATATCGGTCGTTTCGCGATATTTTTGACGTTCTCATTCTTCGCGAATAATGCCCTTCCGCGAAAAATAATCTCATAAATAAATATAGATATTTTGGAAGTGAATTCTTTTTTTATTTAGACTGAAATTGAAAATCAAGTTAATGAAAACTTACTTTAACATAGAAATGTGAATAATCTCTATATGCGCGATAGAATAATTATACAGAGATAATTTTAGCAAATTAAATTTAAGAATATCAGTGAGAACGGAGGAATATCATTTTGATATTTTCTCAAAATTTCACTTACATATTATTTAAGTACTGATCTACATTATTCCATTCAGGAATGATGCAGAATCCGTTATCTCTGAGTAAATCTGGCCGAAGATTTTTGGCAGGAAACAAGTAACAGATAAGCAATCGTACGTTCCCCACGGTCCGTCCTGTTTCTCTGAGTCAGTTATTATTGTTACTGCATTTAACGATACAGTTGTCATTGTAGATGAGCACACTGATCATGATAGATAAATGATTCTCAACGTCAATTTAAGATAACCAAAATATTGAACTATTATGTACATATTTATATAGCTTACATGATGATATCGAATGTCAGATCATCTAAATTACAATGCACTTTGTGTGTATTTGAATACACAATGGTGTCACTGTAATCCGAGTAAATATAACATTACTGTTACGACCGCGAGTAAATTGTTAAAATTGTCAGTAACAAGTAGCTGGTGATTTAGCAATTATCAGTTTATAAATTATGGAAATGTGATGAACGTGTAAATATATCACATGGATGTGACTACGGAGAATTTATCGACATGAGTTTATATAACAAAAATCCATTATTAAAAACGATTAATTTTTGTTATACAATACAAATTAAATTGTCATATAACACAGTACTTAAATTATTTTGTTATATAATGCAAAATAATTCTTTGTTGAATATCTGCATTATATACATTTCATCACAAATGGTGTTTTCATCAACATTCGCACGGACATTGATTTTTGTTCGACTAAACTTACTGGCGGAATGGTATCGGAGAGTGAATCGGATTAAGATTAAAAACTTGAGAGAGAGAGAGAGAGAGAGAGAGAGAGAGAGAGAGAGAGAGAGAGGAGGAGGAGGAGGAGGAAGGAAGGAAGGAAGGAGAGAGAGGGAGAGGGAGAGGGAGAAAGGGGTAGAAGGTAAGGGATGAAACAAGGGGATAACCGCTCCCTGATGGCAACCAGGAGAGTTAGTGAAGTAAGTTGAAGTGAATGGAAGCGAGTCAATATTAAATCTGCGCCCGAGGCCGTAATCGTTCTATTGCGAGAACGATTACGTATAAGTTTTACGATTTCTTTTTGATTTAGTGGTTGATCCTTAATAATTTCAATATCTCAAGAAAAAGTTTTTGAATGCTATAATCTCCGTTGCATTTTTGCTGCCAGCTTTCGACTAATATTTTAACATCATAACATCATTCATCGACTAATATTTTAACTAATATTTTAACATCATTCATCGACTAATATTTTAACATCATATCATCATAATATCATTTTAACATCATATTTTAACATTCGACTAATATTTAACATAAAAGGATAAATTGAATCGACAAATACGACACGAATCTTAGTTTGACTATTTAAATAAAACAGATTAAATCGCAAATTTTTTATCACACAATTTTTCTAATAAACGGGAACACGAAAGGTAAAACTAATATGTGGGAAGATATAAAATACGCTGTACAGGTAATTTAGAGTGGAATAAGTATGCAGAAAGCCGCAAAAACTTATTCTGTACGTGTGTTTACGGAACACTACAATAAACAACAATTACAATCCAGTGCAATCAAGAATAAAATAGGAGAACGCACTATTTTTTCTCCAAAGCAGGAAGAAAAATTGAAAAACAGCACTATTTTTTCTCCGAAACAGGAAGAAAAATTGAAAGACAGTATCGTAAAGCTTTCACAATAAAGCTTTGGATTAATTGTAAAAGTCACAAAATCGCTTATATTTATCCGAATCAAACATAAATTTTCCAAGACGCATAAGATGACTGGAAAAGATTTCCTCGCGGGTTACTTGTCTTGTCATTTTGATCTCTCTCTCTCTCTCTCTCTCTCTCTCTCTCTCTCTCTCTCTCTCTCTCTCTCTCTCTCTTTTTCCTCCAAGATGCAAGCTTTGTCTCATGTATGAAGTGAGGGTTTAAATATAAAAGAAGTTGACGATTATTTTAAGCTTTTGAAAGACTTCTTGGAACAAATAAAACCCGTAAATAATTTGTTTTCTACCTACACTCAGGATTATTTCCTCTCAACAGTATTGTTGCCAACAAAGTTATTTTTACAAAAGATCCTCTATACGTTATTTTACAAATATAAAGAAGAAAAGAGAGAAAGTGTCGCAGTTTCTGTACGCTATCGGCCAGTTTATTCTGCTCTTCGTCATAATAAAAGAAACGATTCTATATATGGTATTTGAAAATTGCCTTCCGAATCGAATAAAAGTAATAACAACCGAATCCGGATGCTTCGATGAGAAGATATTGATTCAATAGCTGGAGAGCATTTCGAGAAATTTCGAGTTCTTGAATCGAGTATTGTGTATTGATAGTAGATGATCGCGTGTACTATACAAATCTAAAACTTTTTACTTTATAAAAGAAAACGATTCACATTTTGCAGTCCACCAGCTCACTAAACTTCAACTTTTACAACATTATTTTCTTGCGCTGTTAAAAATGTATTACGACGAAGCTCGATGGTTTCGTTCACGAAAAAGCGATGCGAATCAGTTTCGCGAGCGATGTAAAAAACCGCTTGATTCAGAGCAGCCACTCCGATTAATGCCGAGAGTGGCTTTTTGTCCTGTGGAATTTATCCCTTTGACGTAAACGTTGTTTGAACTGACGAATTTTTACTAAGGATTCCTATCGCGACAAAAGTCGCCTATCACATTATTTCATGAGTTATCTTTAGTCTCTATGAAGATGAAAAGGGTGTCCAGTAAGTGCAGGCTGCAGCAACGTAAAGCATTTCTCCTGATTTCTTCCGAAAATATCTGCGAAATAAAGGAGAAAAATATCAAGAAGAGCAAATGCGACGAGATAAAGAAGTTCGAACAGTGAAAAGGAATTCCAGCGTCAGCCCGAGTGAAAGGAAGAAGACTATTACTACTGATAGCGATGATCGCAGTAGTACAAGTGAATGTGACACAGACGAGCAAAAAGATGAGAGCGTCGGAAAAGAGGAGAAAATGCAAGAGAAGGAAGGGAAGGACGTATGTCAAATTTGCTTTTTGAAATATTTGAATTCTTAATCCATCAGGAAGGGCGATTTGATTTAATGTCAGCAAAACGACAAATGGTATGTAGAAATTAATGAAGTCCATGTGGAGGCTGAAGGTAAAAATGATTTATATGCGTTGAATGCATGTAAGTAACATGGAAATTAAAGTGTAATTAAAAATTTTTTTAATTTTTACGTAAATGTGAATGAACATAATTATTTCGCGTAAATTAACACAATTGCGCGATAAAATATATCGTGAAAAAAATATTGTGTCATCGAAAATGAGAAAAGAGAAACGTCAGATAAATCATTTTATTTTAAGAAAGACAAATACGCAGAGAGAAACCAATCAATCGCAACTTTTGCTACCGTTGGACGC